AGCCGCCCCGACTTCACCTCCTCCAGGGGCAGCCACTGGTGGGATGGGGAGACCCCCCCTCAGTGAACCCCCTTTGGGGACCCCCCCCCACCCCCCCCCCCCCCCCCCGCACCCCCCACCCCCCCCCAGCACCCACCGGCCCAGGAAATCGTCCTTGTCCACGTCCTTGTCGAAGAGGTCGAACTCCACGTCCTGCCCCGGGACGTTGTCCACGATCACCTGGGCAGGGACAGGGGTCACCCCAAACCCCCCCGGCCTCATTTCACCCCCCTGGGCCCCTCCCCTGCCCACGGGGGTGACGATGGGACCCCCCCCGGTACCTCATAGACCTCGTTCCAGCGGGGGTTCAGGTCCTCCTTGATCACTCGGCTCCGGAAAACCCTCCCGGCCACCCGGACCTTGGCGTAGGGGTCGGAGCGGCCCCGCACCATCCCCTTGAGGAAGTTGTCCTTGGCGATGAGGTTCTCGGCCTCCAGGAGGTGGATCCGCAGCACGTGCTGGACACGGGACCACCGGCCACTGGCGGGGGGCTGCCAGCACCTCTGGGCCCCCCCCAGGACCCCCCAGTCCCCACCCTGCTTCCCCCCCAGGACCCCCCAACCCATCTCCCAGGATCCCTCAACCCATCTCACAGGACCGTCCCCCCAGGCCCTGAGCCACATCCTGCCCCCCAGGACCCCCATCCTTCCCCCCAGGACCCCCATCCTGCCCCCCAGGACCCCCATCCTTCCCCCCAGCACCCCCCAGCCCCAGTTGTCCCTCCTGCCCCCCCCGTCCCCTCCCCACCTCGGTGCCAAACCGGGGGTCCGGGCTGGCCTGGCTGGGCCGGGGGGGTCTCTCGGTGCTGCCCGGGGGCTGTGGCTGCCCCGGGGGGGCAGAAGGGGGGGACTCGCCGCTCTCGGGGGCGTCCAGGAAAAGCACCTGCGGGTCTGGGGGTCAGCGAGGAGGGGTGGGCAGGGGCAGGGCCCCCCCCTCGGCCCCCCCGGACCCCCCTCACCCGCAGGACCAGCTTCATGAACAGGCGGCTCCGGGGCCCCGAGCGCTGCAGCAGGAACGGCTCGTCCAGGGTCAGGTCTGGAGCCTGGAGCAGGCGGGACAGGGGCACGGACACCGACCCCAGGGGGGTCTGCCGGGGGTCATCCTTCACCTGCGGGCACGGGGGGGGGTCACTGGGGGGAGCAGGGAACGGGGGGAATGGGGGGAAGTGGGAGGGAAGAGGTGGGGGGAAAGGAGGAGGAAAAAGGAGGGGGAAAGGGGGGAAGGAAGGGGGAAAAAGAGGAGGGAAGGAGGGGGGAAGGGTGGGGGAAATAGGAGATGGAAAGGGGGGAAAAGGGAGGAAAAGAGGGGAAAGGGGAGGTGGAGGATTTGGGGAGGAAAAAGGAACAGGGACTTGGGAGGATATGAGGGGACAAGAGGCTGGAGAACTGGGGAGCTCTTGAGGGATGTGGGGGGACACAGGGTCAGGGGATCTCAGGGGATGTGGGGGGACACAGGGTCAGGGGATCTTGGGGCTTGGGGGGACACAGGGCTGGGGTTTGGGGGTCTCACCTGGATATCCACGTCCTGGTTCCT